TAACTAATGGACATAAGACACTGGGGGGTTAGGGAGGGTAGGGGTGTGTCAAGGGCGGGGGGGAAAAAAAAGGACACTTATGTAATACCCTTTGTAATACTTTAAGCGAAAAATAAAAAAATATTAAAAAAAAAAAAAAAAAAAAAAAAAAAAAAAAAAAAAAAAACGATCTCTGGCTCCTGAGTCTGTTATTTCTGCCTTCCAATAAGCTTTAGTTAAAAAGAAACAAAACTTTTGTTTACTTTCAACTGTAGTCCTTTGTCTCATATTGTTTTCACAATCCAATTTCTTGAGCTATTAGGAATGATTTTCTCTCACTTCTTAATAATCTATAGTCCAGTTTCTACCTCCACTCTTTCATTAAGTCCTTTTTCTCTGAAGTCCTCGTTGACTCTTTAAAACAAATCTAAAGGTTGGTTTCTTCATTGCTCTTATTCATCTTGATCTCCCTTTTTCAAATAATGAAGCTAATATCCATCTTACTAAACATCTCTTCTCCTTTTATTTACAAAGCACCCAAGAATCTTTCAGTCCCTTCATAATCCTCACAACCGGGCCTTTTCTTTATTCCTGCCTCAACTTAAAATTCAGTTGTCACCCCTCTTCTCTTCTTCATCTATTCTCATTTTCTCAGGAAATTCATCTATTCTCAAGACTTTACCTGATGGCAAGAGCAAAGCAGGTGGGGCCTGAAGCCTGGCTCTATGACTTAGTAGCTATGCAGTTTAGGATAAGTGATTTCAAATACCTGACTTTAGTTTCCTCTGCTCTAAAATGGGGATTCAGTAATTCATTCAACAGTTTTTATTGAGCATCTACTATGTATCAGGCACTGTTCTAGGTACATGTGATTTATTAGCAAATGGAACAGATAAATATTCCTGCCCACACAGAGCTCTTATTCTAGCAGGGAGACAAACAAAAATAATAAACATACTAGATAAGATAATTATATAAAATAACAGAATATGATGAGAGCTATCGAAAAAAATTAAAAGTCAGATTACATCATTTAAAGGTGGTCAAGGTAGGCTTCCCTGAGAAATTATTATGAGCAAAGACCCAGAGCAGGTGAAGGAGTTGGAAATGAGGGTACCTGCTGGAGAGGGTGCAGGCAGAGGGAACTGACAAGAATCCTAAGGGCCAGGGCAGGCTCTGCTTGTTCTAGGAACACCAAAGAGGCCAGTGGGAATGGAGTGAAGTGAGTACAGGGAAGAGCAGTTGGAAATAAGGCCAGAGAGGAAATCAGGAAGCCAGTCCATGTAGGACCTCTGAATGTGACGGGAGCTGGTGCAAGGAGACACGATCGGATTTATGTTTTAAAAGGATCATTAGGGCTGCTGTGCTGGGAAGAGACTGTGTTGGGAGCTGGATGAAGCAGAGAGGCCAGCTAGGAGGCTCTGTCGGTAATTCAGGCAGGAGGTGGTGGTGGCTAGTACCAGAGTGAGAGCTCTAGAGAGGAAGAGAGGTGGCCAATCTAAGATAGTAAAACCCACCTTGTAGAATCTTATGAGAAAATAACTGCAGTTAAAGTGCCTAGTAGATGCCTGGCACAAGGAAGATGTTAAATAATACACTCTTTTATTATGTTATATTTTTCAAGTAGAATAGATAATATGAAGGAGCTCAAAGCTAGAGTATGATATTAAAGGTCAGCTGACCTGGGAATTGGCAGCTGCCCTCATTGGAAGTCATGAAAGGAGGTTAGGCTGAGAAAGGAGCTTAATCTCCTTTCAGCCTTCACCTCACATCCCAACTTGAGGACAGTATTTCCACCTTGTGACAAAACACTTCCCTTAAACGTTTCATCACATACTCAATATCAATGAATATTTATTGTTAAAATTTACCTTACCTCCATTTCAAGCCAGTTACCAATCTAAATGTTTCCTTCGCCCTAGCCAGTTTGGCTCAATGGCTAGCTAGAGCATCAGTCTGTGGACAGAAGGGTTCCAGGTTCAATTCCGGTCAAGGTCACATACCTCGCTTGCAGGCTCCTCCCCAGCCTGAGCTGTGGTTGGGGGCATGCAGGAGGCAACCAATCAATGTGTTTCTTTCCCATTGATATTTCTCTCTGTCTTTCCCTCTCTCCACTCACTCTAAAATCAATGGAAAAACATCCTCTGGTGAGAATTAAAAAATAATAATAATAAAATAAGTGTTTCCTTTGATTAAAGATATGCCAGTCCTACAGGTTGAAGACAGCTTCATCTTTGTAGAATTATGAAATAAAAGGATGCTGTCATTGGAAGTTGGTATTGTGGCCATTATCTGCTCAAAAAACATCTCTGTTTACAAAAGAAGAACTGAGGCCCAGATGTAGCATAACTAGCTATGGGCCACTCCGGGCTTTAATGACTGAGTGTGGCCCAGAACCAGTTTCCTGGAACCCTTCTCCAACAGCCCGCCCCCCCCTCCCTCCATCCCCCCATCCACATGACAGCAGTCCCTCAGATTGGCTGCCGTCTCTGGACGGGTCACCACCACAGCTGCTTTGACCAGCTTTCCTGTGATTGGCAGTTAAGCCGATCAGACAGGCTATGGCAGGCCATGGCCTACGCTGCTTGAAGTATGCTGGCTCTGGCTTCAAATCCTGGCTCTGCACTTACTAGCTGTGAGGCCATCAGCAGGTTTCCTAACTATGTTCTGCCTTAGCTTCTTTGTCTGAAAAATGCCTACTTCCCAGGACTTAAGTAGCATATGACATATAAAGCTCTTAGCACAGATTCAAGCACAAAGTAAGAGTCCAAGAAGCATTAGTTATTTGTGGGTTATATTACTACTCTCAGTGCCTTTCAAAGAAGTTGCCCTGGATGCCCACCCACTGAACAAATTCTAATTGCCTTAGTTTGGCCACTGGGGCCTTGCAGCAACCGGGTCTATCAAATGTATGGAAACTTCCATTGCTTTCTGATCACAGCCTTCCAGTCAGAACAGCTCGCTATGTTCCCCCATATCATGCTCATTCCCAATTCTTAACTCTGTTTCAGTTTATGCTCCTCCTACCTGAAATGCCCGCCTTCCTTCTCTCTGTCTAACTTCCCAGCTCCACTGATATTATTTCTTCTATACAATACCGCAGTATGTATATGCAGCACATATTGATCGCTTCCTTAAGGAGGGCATGGGAGCATTTCATTATACCATGGGGTCCAGAGCAGACTGCCTGATCTCTCACCCATAAATTGGTATTAATATTAGAGTTGTTGTGAGGATTTGACAAATAAATACTTTGTAAAAACAATTATTAATATGCTATTATTATATATACTTCCCCTCTTTTTTTAATGTACCTTCATTTTCTTTCTACAGGTTATTCTGTCCATATGTACTACAGCAGTCCCCCCTTACCCACGATGTTACTCTCCATGGTTTCAGTTATCCACAGTCAAATGTAGTCCCAAAATATTAAATGGAAAATTCCAGAAATAAACAATTCATAAGCTTTAAATTGCATACTGTTCTGAGTAGCATAATGAAATCTCACTCCATCCTGCCCAGGATGTGAATCATCCCTTTGTCCAGTGTATCTACCTTGTAATACGCTACTCGTCCATTAGTCACATAGTAGCTGTCTAGGTCATCAAAGTGACTGTCATGGTATCACAGTGCCCCTATTTTACTTAATAACGGCCTCAAAGCACAAGAGTAGTGATGCTGGCAATTCAGATATGCCAAAGAGAAACCCTAAATTTCTTTCTTTAGGTAAAAAGGTAAAAGTTCTCTACTTAATAATAAAGGTAGAAAAATCATATGCTGGGTTACTAAAATTTATAGTAAGAACACATCTTCTATCCATGAGATTGGGGAGAAGGAAAAAGAAACCCATGCTTGTTTTGCTGTTGCACCTCCAACTGCAAAAGTTATGGCTCCAGTGTGTGATAAGTGCTTAGTTAAGATGGAAAAAAATATGAAATTTGTGGGTAGGAGATATGAACTAAAAGCATTTTCCAATTGACAGCAATGTGTTGCAGTAGAAAATGTTGAGCCTATACCAACACGCCAGCAAGAGGCCCCCTAATATGAGTGACACTAAGCCATTTACTGCAAGTAAGAGATAGTTATAATAAGATAGTTTAAGAGAGAAAGACCACATTCATATAACTTTTAGAACAGTATACTGTTATAATTTTTCTATTTTATTGTTAGTTATTGTTTACTATGCCTAAGTTATAAATTAAACTTTATCATAGGTATGTATGTATGTATAGAAAAAATGTAGTATATAGATAGGTTCAATAATGTCTCTGATTTCATGTATCCACTAGGTGTCTTGGAACGGATCCCCTGTGGATAAGGGGAATTACTCTATACTTTTATCCAGTCTTAAATCACATCCGATAGTATAAAGCTCAGTCCTGAGGATTTTGATGTCTGTCCTCAAAGATTTCACCACATCTAATAGTTCATTCTAAAAGTACAGGTTTACCGAAAATATCAAGTCCCCATCTCAGAGCCCATGGGTGGTACAGAGTATAGGTAGCACGGTTATTAGCCAAGGGCCTCAAAGAGGAGAAAGACTGAAGCAAAACAAAGTTTCCAAAAAATATCTGGTCTATTTCTACAGGAAGTTAACAATGGAGTTGTGGAAGCTATTCTGGAGTTAGAGCAAACAAGTGAAAAAGCACTGAGGGCAACTGGAATATTCTATTCACATATTCCTGAGACATGGGTGTTTGCACAGCTACTGTTCTACTTTATTCTGTATTCCATCGACAGGGTCCCACCATTCATCAGGAGCTGTGTTAGGTTTGGGCACTACAAACAAGAATTCTATACCAGGTAGGGGTACATCAAGCTAATACATTGACAAGGGCTGTTCCCAATGACACATACTCTGTCACAGTGCAGTGATCATGTGCTTTTTCTGTCTTTGGGGAATCAGTTATGTTTACCAAAAATAGCAACACATTTTATATGAGTGGAAAGAGTTGAACTTTTTCCAGCATTACTTTCAAAAATCAGGTAAGGTAAGAAATCACTCAATTAGACTAACTTACCTCTATTTTTTCCCATATGGCTTCATAGTTGTCTTGGTGTTGAATATCTTGCATAAGTTTCTGAATTAAAGCAGATTTCTTGGCAGAATGGCTCTCATTTTTCTCAGAAGATGAAGCTCTCTCTGACTTCTCATCCATGTATTTTTTCATGCCAGAGAGAGGCATACACAGCTCCTCGTCAGAAAGAATGTCACTCAGGGGCCCAGACTCAATGCTCTCCCCCAGCGAAGAGGCTATGTCACTGGATGAACTGGGAGACACCCTGCCTAGCCTTGTACGCTTCTTCTTGACATGGTACGTTGGATAGATCTCAGAATCTGAATTCATTTCAGACAGTTCCCAGTCATCGATATTCTGAATGGTTTCCCCTCTGGGTTTTGGAGGCAGAAGCTTCGTTAAGTTTTCCAACTTCAAAGCTAATACTTCTGTCTGCTTAAGGTGAGAGGGCAGTGCCAGGTACTCGTCGGAGCCGTACCAGGCCTCCACAACCTGACCATTCCTTGAGACGTGACTTGGGGAGGAGGAGTAACTTTTTTTGCTTTTGTGTTTTGAAAGAAGGGGTACCGGAGACATGACACTGTCCGAGCCAACAGGAGATCCGCTGCTTTGAGTAAACGGTGGGGAACTGGATGTTTCTGACTGCGCTGGTAATGTGGCATTCCAACTGCTCTGAGGATACGGCTCAAGGGAGGATGTAGAAGCAGAATCGGTTTCTGGCGCCTCCACGGCCTTGGAGGTACAAGAGGGAATTCCGTTCGGCACTCTGGAGCTCCTGGTGATTTCGGTTTGCTTGCCCGAACCAGTTCCCGCTTTAGGGGTTTGGCACGGAGGCACCTCTTCTGGGTTCTTATGTGGCTTTTTAAGTCGAGGTTTCTCTTTGTGGCAGTTGTTGAGCCTTCCCAGGCTGGAGGAGATTTCTTTAATGTGACTTTTGACTGTGTTTTCAAGATTCCCGCCCCCCATCTTGTGCAGACACTCGTAGGACTGGCTGGCGGCCGAAGGGCTGCTGGGGTAGGACGCCTGCAACACCAGGCAGAGCTTGGATCTGTCGGGAGGATCCACCAGGGAAGGGGTGCTTCTGCTCATCTCGGGCTTGAGATCAGCATCGGCCTCTTTCCGTCAGCACCTCTCAGGTTATTCTTAAAAGCGTCCTCTTTAAGGAAAAGCCCTCTTTTTGGCAATGTGGGCTGTGTGGGGGAGTCCTCGTTATAATTAAAGCAATCTCTGATGGATCGCTTGGGGGTTGTGTTCTCACAGGGAAGAGGCTGTTGGTTCTTTGCTCCAGGTTGGGAGGGAGAATTGGATTCTTGCTTCGAGGTCTTAGCAAAGGACTGGACAGTATTTGTCAGAGCTTCCACTGGAGATGACACGCCCTGCTTTGAGCCTGGTTGCTCCTCGACTGCGGGAGCCTTGTTTTCTTCACACCCACCTTTATCATCTGCTGAGAGAGAACCTTGAGATGCCCCCTCACTCACTGCTTCGCTGCAGTTGGAAGCGATGGGGTCAGTGGCCACCGTCAGTAACCCCACACTTCGGATAAGCTCAGGGAACTCCTTCTCCATCTCACCGTAGCTCCAAGAGTCAAAGGGTTTGCTTTTGACCTGGCTCACGTCACCCAGGCCACCGAGCAAATCCTCACTTGGACTATAGTCAGACAGTTCAAATGCAGTAATTCCACAATCCAGAGACAAGTAATTTTGAGAGCATTTGATAGTTAGCTGTCCTGAGTCATCCACTTCCGTTAGAGAATCGAGCCGGCCCTGAAACAGACAAGGGCAGTGGTTTCAGTAAATGGAACATCAATTACACTCAGCTGCTGTTCAAAGAAATCTCAGCAGAGGCCGCTAAGAAGGTCAAAATGCATCAGTCTCCGTTGCTTCTGGTTTGGCATACAGAATGGCATATTAATCAATTATCACATTACTTTATATAATATCCTGTTCTTAAATATTCAAAGATTTTTCTTTAATCGAGAGAATAAAGCTTCGATAGAAATGGTCAAGGTCAACCCCAAAATATCCATTCTTGCCTTAATGTTCTATCTTAAAATAATGCATTGTTCAGTTAATAAACATTTTTTAAATGATGTAATAAAATTTCTGGGAACAAATCAATGTAGGAATAACGTCTCCATGAATGTCTCTTTTGCTTATTGCTATCACTCCATCACCTACCACAACTGGCTAACTCATAGTAGATGCTCAATAAGTATTTCTAAAGTGTACTAAGTCTGTCATGTTAAATATATATTCACAAATCCCAGGAAGGTGAAACATGAATTTGCATATAACAAAAGCAGTTCAAGACTAGCTTCTATTTCTCCCCACCCTTTCTAAGGTAAACACCCAAACTCCTGGAGAAAATTATTCAGTATCAAAACTTTATCATCTTAGTTCCCATCACTCTGCATGCATTTCTCCCCTCACCTCCTCACCCCCACCCCTGCTCCCGTTTGTTTATATTAGATACCACCTCCACTGTTATTCATAATTTGGGGTAGGCCAGTTTGAAACTTCTCTATGCTAAAAAATAGTAGTACAAGCAAGTATTTTAAATTTTTTAATCTTTAATTATGCAATTAAGGTTTTTGTCTCATTACTAATGCAGTTTCTGGCATCACACAGCCAACAATTTTTCACTGATTTGTTCGGGATGAAAGGAATCCCATTATGTGAACCAGGCTGAAGGACAGCCTGGTCTAATCTAGTCCCTTAGGAGACGAAGGATGGATGGAAACAGAACTGTTACATCCACAGACCTCCGTTCTGAAGGAGAAACCAGGTGAGCAAACTGAAGCTGGACCTCATGTAGCTGCTGCACCCTCTGTCCCTTCAACCAAGTTACCCCGAGTTCTGACCTCTCTATAGGTTTTTCTGTTCATTTGCTTGTTGTGTTTTGGCAATGTTCTCTTCCTTCAGATCTTCAACTTACCTTTATCTCCTATTCCCCTCACTCTCACTCTATATCATCCAGATAAATAATAATGATGAAAGGCCTCATTTCACCTTTCTAAACCTCAGTTTCCTCCTCTCTAAATGGGGATGGTTGATTACTACTATTTCTTTTTCATTTAAATCTCCCAACAACTTTCTTCCGGTGTTGGGTCTATATTATTGTTTTATACAACCAGAGCCTGAGCCAAAAGAAGGTGCATAACTAGCAAATGTCCATACTCTGACCTTGGTACCATAATTTTCTGTGGTTCATTAGATATTATTTTAAACGGACATACCCCCTACTCCAGTTTGTTCTCCACATTGCCACCAGAGTAAGCTTTACAAATCTGTTACTGTTAATTCTCTGCTTAAAGTTCTTTATTAGTGTCCTGCTAAGTAAACCCAAACCCTTCCAAGAACAAACATGGCTTCACTGAACCACAGTGTCTGCCTGCCTCGGGCCTTTGCACATGCTATTTCCTCTGTCAGGAAAGTTTCCCACCTATAATACCCTGTAACTTATGGATTCTTACCCCCTCAGACCTCAGATTAAGTTGTATTTCTTCAAAATTCCAAACCCTCACCTAAGTCAGAATCTTTCCTTAGAGACTCTTGTAAAACTGTTGTTTTTCCTTTAAGAATTTGTCTCAATCTTTAAATAAATACTCTGTGGTTATTTCATTACCTTGTTTTTCCCACTAGTGTGTATGCACCACAACAGTATAAATCACATAGAAAATAGCTGACTCACCAGGATACCCGCAACACTTAGCATAGTGATCTGCATAGAACAAGCACTCAAGACATATCTGTTGAATAAAATTTCAGGGTGGGGGACCTTTTTTCTGCCAAGGGCCATTTGGATATTTATAACATCATTCAAGGGCCATATCAAATTATCAACTTAAAAATTAGCCTGCTATATTTAGTCAAACATTTAATTAACTCACTGCTAACACCTTGGCAGGGCCAAACCAAATGATTTCGCGTGCCTTCTAAGGCCTGGAGGCCAGATGTTCCCCACCCCTGCAATACATGAATGAATGACGACATTTTGGAATGTATCTCTACGCCTTCATGTAACTTCTTCCTCTGATTATGTAGTTTCAGTTGACTCCAGTGATGAAAAGCCCAAGCTTCAGAGTCAAATTCTACCTCTAGCACTAGTTAGTCATGTGACCATGATCCAGCAACTTGATGTTGCTAAGCCTCATTTCCTTCATCTGTAAAAAGGGAATAATGATAAGCCATGTTATAGCGCTGTTGTGAGAGTCAAAAGAGGTAATATATGTAAAACACAAGTCTGACACATGGATAGGTATTTAATGAATGTTCACTCATATTATTATTTTACTATTCAAGTATATTTAGGAAGAAACTTTTATCAAAATGAGAGAGATACTTATGGCAATTATACTGCACAAAGTGAGAAAACAGTATTAACTGCCAAAATGATCTAAATGGAATTGTGTGGCTTTAATGCTGCATACCTGGACCAGGATCTTTAAATAACAAAGTCAGAAGCCAAAAATCACCAAGGAATGAGACAGCCAAATAAAGTCACACTTTATACAACTTTTAAAGAAAGTACCGTATTTTTCCATGTATAAGACACCCCCCCAGTTTTCCAATCCCAAATTAAGAAATCAATATTTTAAACATTTTGCTGGTTTTCCTCTTAAGGCCTTCTTTTTTGGCATCTTAAGGAGTTGTTCTTCCTGTTTTCTCCACTGTTTGATCATACACTCAGTGGGAGGAGGTCCAAATTGTCTCTCTGCAGCTCTATTTCCATGCTCTTTTGCATAGCTGGTTACATTCAGTTTGAATTTTGCAGAGTAAGACAATCGCTTACCAGTATTTATCTTTTTATTTTTTGACATCTTTATGGGCTCAGAATGCTCTGGTCCCTGTTGCATCTGTGCACTCTCCACCTCCACCTCCAATTACGGCATCAGCTGACGTCGGTAACAATAAGGCTCGTGATTGGAGGAAGCCTGTTTGACAAGGTAAGGGCAGCTACGCACCCGCCAGGCTCCCTCCTCGGCTGACTTCTGTGTATAAGACGCCCCTCGATTTTCAGTCTAATGATTTTAGAAAAAAATAACGTCTTGTACATGAAAAATACGGTAATGTTGGGGATTCCAATTTAAAGGCAGGTTGTGTTTTTATTTTTTTAATTTAGTGGCTTAGTATTCAGAAATTACTCCTTTTGAAAATGTATTATAGCCGAGATGGATGGCATGGCTCAGTGGTTGAGCATTGACCCATGAACCAGGAGGTCATGGTTTGATTCCCGGTCAGGGCACATGCCTGAGTTGTGAGCTCGATCCCCAGTGTGGGGCATGCAGGAGGCAGCTGATCAATGATCCTCTCTCATCATTGATGTTTCTGTCTCTCTCCCTCTCCCCTCCTCTCTGAAATCAATAAAAATATATTTTTAAAAGTGTATTATAAGTGATGGGTAAGTTCCAAGCTATCCCATTAGTTGATATTTAAATTACTAACTAGTTGAAATTTGCATTATTTTCTACCCGATTTCTCATAAAGGCGCAGCACTGTGGCTACTTGAGCGAGGTTAGAGAAGCATTAAGAAAAAGTGTTTCTATGATGGGTAGAGAAATAGGAATTTGGGAGTTCGAGTAAAACTTAGACACTGAAAGTGTCAGCCACCGGATTCTGGACAGGCTTGGGACACAGTAGCCCTGGAAAAGCTTTGGTCCCCATTTTCATGGTCATAGAACTTAAAGATCAGGCATACTGTCTAGCTAGAAAATAAGGGATACTCATGAGATTACATATCAGAGAATAGAATATGGCTCCCTTTTCCTAGGTCTTCCCCTGAAGACCCCTTCCCTACCCAGTCCTTTGTTTGGAAAACAAAATACTGCACTCAAAAACACTTAATGCTCCAAGGTAAACCCTCTCCCATCCTGTTCCGGCCCAGGCCAACTATTTCTGTGCATGGTGGATTGTCACTCATGGGTAACTATTTTTAATTCAGACTGCGTTTTTAATGTGAAAAAAATCCCTCGCTGAAAAACAAAACAAACAAAAAAACAGCACATGGCATATCTATTTCATATCCTAAAGACCAAGTGACAACCATCTACCTATATTTTTTTAACCCAGTTGGTTATTAAAGAGCATTTTTCAAAAGTATTGTTATAGATTTCATCATGCAGAAGCAACTTTTTTAAAAAACAAAGTTCTCAGAAGTTTCTGAGAGCAGATCAATAATTAATAAGTTTCATTTCTTAAAATATTGCTTAGTTATACCAATGTATGTAGTCCTATTGCTTTCTTCTGGACCACATTCCCAGATAGTTTTCTAAAGCATGTAAGTAATGAAGTTTCAGGTGGATATGGAGGTAGGGTAACAGTGCCCGTTGTTTTTACTATTCTTTTTTATTTCAGAAATATCACATATAATTGTGTAGTATCATTAGCTTGCCATGGCTGCCTAGCAATGTCTAAATTCAAATATACCTCCTTTTAATATGTCATGAAGCAGTTTCTCAGATGAAGGTTATGTTTTATTCAGACAGTAACTTATTCACTTTATTGATGGGTAATTTATTCACTTTATTGTTTTTAATAATTAGCACTACCTGTGTGACTTTATCTCTCTCAATCTCAGTCCTCTCATCTGTAAGATGGATGCAATAATATCACCTACTAAATAAGAATAACAGCACCTGTCATCCCATGAATCTCATGAAATTTTGAATGTGATTCCTAACATGTGTTATTTTTCTTTGATTAGTGCCTTATATGTAATAGAAAATTGATAAATATTTAGGGAAAACAAAAAGGAAAGCAGGAAG